GAGTGCAGTGGCACCATCATAGCCCACAGCAACCTCAAACTCCTGGGCTCAAGCGAGCCTCCTGTCCTGCTCAGCCTCCCAAGTAGCTGGGAGTACAGGTGTGCCACCACGCCCCACTAACTTTTCTATTTTTTTTGTAGAGATGGGGTCTTGCTCATGCTCAGGCTGGCCTCAAACCCCTGACGTCAAGCAATCCTCCTGCCTCTGCCTCCTGAAGTGCCAGGACTACAGGTGTGAGCCACTGCACCCAGCAGAGATCTAAAATTTAAGGTGATGTTCTGTAACTCTCTCAACTAGACAAAAGGACTTCTATAATAAAAATCTTAAGGGTGTAGTCCTACCACATTTGTAGCCTAAAGAAGGGTCTCTACTGATAGAGTGAGGTGACTTCGGTCTAATTGACTAAAACTTATTATTTAGAAGGCCCACAGAGTTTTTTTAAAAAATAGATTTAGGGGGTACAGGTCCAGTTTTGTTACATGAATATATTGTGTAGTGGTGAAGTCTGCGCTTTTTGTGTAACCATCACAAGATTAGTGTATGCAGTACCCCATTAGGCAATTTGTCATCCTATACCCTCCACTCCCACTCTTCCATCCTCCCACCCTCTGGGTCTCTGATGTCTATTATTTCATTCTCTAACTAATGTACACATTAGCTAGCTCCCTCTTGTAAGTGAGAACTTGTGGTATTTGATTTTCTGTTTCTAAGTTATTTCACTTAAGATAATGGCCTCCAGTTCCAACCAGGTAGCTGCAAAAGACATAATTTCATACTTTTTTATGGCTGAGTAGTGGTCCGTGGTGTGTGTGTGTATGTATGTGTGCATGTGTGTGTGTGTGTGTGTATACACACCACATTTTATTTATCCAATCCCCACAGAGTTTTAAAGAAAAGTTTAATAGTGAAGGCAGCACCAGTTTGGACTACAAGAGACAAAGACAATTCAAAATAAAAAGAGGTTGTCTCTGGGCCCCCTACTTCTTTGGGCAGGAAGCAGTCTGAGAAAACTACTCAGCTGCAAACCCAGATCATTTCCTGTTTAAAAGGAAAAACATCTGAGAAAGTAGAGAGCCAAGGCCTAAGAGGGTGGATCTAGAAGCCCAGGAGAGCAGTGGTGAACAGTAGGAAAATCCTACCAGAACCAGAACCAGACCCTAACCAAAGGAATTCTGGATTTGGGGTGGACTGAGATATATGCCTGCCTGGATATCAGAATTTCTATGGATCAGTGGCTGCTTTGTCTCCTACTCTCTCGTACTCCATTTTGCACAGGAGTGTCTATCATAGTTATCCTGTCCCTGTCTCAGCATTGTACGTTAGGTATGTGGGAGGCAGATAACTTGTATTTTTAGGAAACAGGTAGTGGTGTGCTGGTAAATGTTTAACAGCTGGTCTCCAGGGAATAAATTAAAAAGCCCTGATTTGCAGTGTTTACCAATTTCTGTAGTGTACATTCTCCCACTATGGCTGATTTCAAGCTACTGATGTGACATCACTGAATACGGAGTTGGGAGAAGATGTTCACAATCGGCTCCCATGAGTCAGTATGAGCTAGCTCTAGGACATCACTGAAGGCCCCTGCACCTGAAGAAATGTACCAGAGGAGCCTCAACTATTTTTGTGCCTGATTCATATAATGAGACACTGGACTTCAAGCCTGATCCTGATGCCATAAGGGATGAAAATTTGGGGGGTGGGGAGGGCTTGGGAGTGGGTGATTGTATTTTGTTTATGGGAGGGACATGAATTATTAGGAGCCAGAGAGCAGACTATAGTAAATTGCTATATTGGCAGCTCCCAGTGTATGGTACCTCCTGATTTTCATGTGTTGGTCTAATTCCATCCCACACTGATTCTAGGCCTGGCCACAATGTCTTGCTTTGTCAATGGGTCATTAGCAAGCAAGGTAGGTGTATGCAGAAGCTTGACAATGATTTACCCATTGAAATTGTCCTTTTGGAATCCAACCACCCTTCCTTAAAGAAACTTGGGCTAGACTACTGAATGACAACAGGCTTCACAGAGAGAGGCTCTTATGGACTGAATGTGTCCCCTCAAAATTCATATGTTGAAATCCTAACTCCAATGTGATGGTATTAGGAGCTGAAGTCTTTGGGAAGTGATTAGGCTTTATGAGGGTGGAGCCCTCATAAATGGGATTAGTGCCTTTATACAAGAGACCCCAGAAAGCTGCCCTGCCCCTTTCCTCCAGGTGAGGTCATAGATAGAAGAGGGCCCTCACCATAATCCCCTCATAGGCAGGAGTTGAGTCTTCTCTCTAGCCCTCCTCCCTTCCACTTCAGCATTCTAAGTACTTCACCTGTATAAGCCCATCTAATTCTCTCAACTATCCTTATTATTTCCATTTTATAAATGAGAAAACTATTAACAACACAGGTCACACAGCTAATAAATGGCAGAGCAAGATGTGAGCCCAAGCTATCTAGCTCCAGAGTTTGTGCTGCATCTTGAAGGGGGAGAGGAATGGGTGCTAACCAGGGAGAAGGGGTCAGGAATGGGAAGGGTCTTCCAGACCTAAGGAAGAGCTTGCAAAAGGCTCAGTTTGCATGGTTTCTAGGGTCCCGTCTCAGAATTTCCGATCTTTTCTCCAGTTGTCCATTATATTCTTCAACTACTCACCTCTCTATGGAAGTAACTCTCTGTTCCTCCCTCTACCCTTCATACAACTTTCTGAGTCCCACGTCAACCCTGTTCCTATATGGGAACCCGAGGTGTACGGGAACCTGATGTGCGGACAGGTATTGTAGTTCCAGTGTTTTATTTTTTCTCCTTTTACACAAATGAGGCATCTGGAGGAGAGGAGAAGGGAGGGGCTGGATCCTGGGGCCACAGAAAGGATAGACTCCCCAGCTTCCAGCCCCTGGGTCCAGGCCCAGGAAATAGGCTCATACCACAGCCTGCAGTTTATGGGGCCTGCAGAGAGAGGAGCTGGAGGAGATGAGGGCAGGCAGCCTCAAAAAAAGTGAAATTTACCAACTTGTCAGCTGCCTATTGATCAGGTCTGAGCTGGGGTTGGGGGGAAGGAGGCAGGGGAGGGTGGTAGTGGGGAGCCTGAGATTAGGAGATTATAGGTTGTGGGAGCCAGGGGTTGGATGGTTTGGGGGAGGGAGTGAGAGGTGAGGTTGATAGGAAACTTTTCATTTCCTTGAGAGGTCAAGTTCTGGGAAAGAGCTACAGACCAGGAACCCACCTGTCTTGGCAAAGCTGATGATTTCACATTCTTGTCCCCTGTTATCCTCCGGAAGTGCTTCCTGTGGGGGCCCATGGAGGTGCTGCAGTGCAGTCCTCAGAGCAGTTCTGGACACAGGCCGGCTCAGTGTTGGGCGCTGGCTGAGGTGCAGCTTGTCCAAGATGCTTCTTTTGGCCAGGTCGAGAAGCAGCTCCCTCCGGCTCTCCAGGTCCAAGGCAGGCCCCCCACATGCTGGACACTGACCACCAGCTCTGGGAGTGGCCACTGTGACTGGAGCCAGGAACAGGAAGGCCAGGAGTAATGAAGAGGTCATTGCTTGGGAGGCCTTCCTTGAGCAACACAAACCCAGGACTCAGAGTCTCAACGGCTGTGGTCTCAACTCTGTCCTGGCTGCCAGGGACCCCGGAAGAAGTGTGTGTCCAGCTGGCATGGCTCCTTGTTGCAGGGGATAGGGCAGGCAAACATCTGATTTGAAGAATGAAGCCAGTTACAGGTAGAATTTGGCAGAATCTGCCTACGCATAGTCAGTGAAAGTATGGTGTGGGGGATGTGAGGAGAGGTTGGTTTGTTTGGGGAAAGAAATGTCCCTGGGCCAATGTTGGGAGACAATGAACTGCCAGGCCTGGGGACAAAGGTGAGCTGCCAGACATGTGAGCTGCCAGGCCTGGGGACAAAGGTGAGAGAAGAAATTCCTCTTCAGATCACTGGCCTTGCTGGGAATCCTGTGGGGAAAAAGACAGATCCCAGGTTTTAAGATAGAATATATATATATATTTTTTATTCCAGGATATTGTGAGGGTACAAACATTATAGTTACACTTTATGTCTTTGCCTCACCCAAGTGCAGGTTAAAGGCATGCCTTTCCCTCCCTTTAGTGCTCCCCGTGTCCTTTAGTTGTAGATTTGCCCCCCCAACCCCCTAATCCCTAGAGAGTGTTTCTGCCATGTGATCAACCTAGTGTTGATCAGTTAGTACCAATTTGATGGCGAGTACAAGTGGATCCCGTTCTTCTGCTCTTGTGGTGCCTCACTTTGGATAATGGGCTTAAGTTTAATCCAGGAAAGTACACGAGGTGCTAGATCACTGTCATTTCTTATGATTGAGTAATATTCCATTGTAAACATATACCAAATTTTAATAATCCACTCATGGACTGACGGGCACTTTAAGATAGAATATTAAAGGGTGACTCTCAAACAAGAAGGGGTAGGGTACCATTGGCAGGGTACTTTAGCTCACTGCCATGCAAGTACAGTAACTCCGAGCTGCATTCTTCTTTGCCAGTGCTTCCCAAAGCCCACCTCCAACCTATCCCTCCATCCCCCTCCCTGGGGCTCTCAATACCACCTTCTTTTTTAGCCCTGGTTGAGTTTTGCCCTGGGGGGGCTCAAAACCAAAAAGTCTGAATGTTAAGGAAAGGGAAACAAAGTGTTCTAGCCAGGTCTTCTGTGTCCTTAGAGGGAAGTCTGAAGATGGGGAAAGGGTTTGAGATATAGATTTGCTCAGCCTTTGGTATTTTTCTGCCTAGGAACAAAAGTTTGAGATTTCTCAGAATTCCTAGCTCCATTCCCCCAAAGGCTGAGTAGTGGCCTTCCAGGGAAAGGCCTCTGTTTCCACAGGATTTACCTGGCAGGGGTGGAGGGTGGAGTTAGGAGCATAGGCTTTTTTTTTTTTTAACTTTTTACTACTTTCTCAAAGCCTAACAGAAGCATAGGCTTTTTTTTTTGTTCTGTTTTTAGTAATTTTTTTTTAATTACAGCATATCATGGGGGTACAAATGTTTAGGTTACGTATGTTGCCCTTGCCTTCCTCCCCCCTGAAGTCAGAGCTTCAAGCGTGTCCATCCCCTGCATGGTGTGTATCACACTCATTAGAAGCATAGGCTCTTAAACCAGATATTCTTGGTTGTTCTTCAGTTGTCCCAGAAACTCTTCAGTCTGTCTCACTCTGTGTCATAACACATAAGGTCCTTTGTAATCTGCCCTTTCCAGTTACATTTCTAATAGTGTAGTGGTTAAGAGTGGGCTCTGATGATAAACTGCCTTGGTTCAAAATCTGAGACTTCGGTTGAATTACTGCACCTCACCTTTCCTCATCTATAAAATAGGTATAATAACAGAACCTGTTTTTCGAGGATTTGATAGAAATAATAGATGTATATCTGGCACAGTGGCTCACACTTGTAATTCCAGCAATTTAGGAGGCTGAGGCAGGAGGATTGCTTGAGGCCAGGAGTTTGAGGCTGCAGCGAGCTATGATCACATCACCGCACTTCAGCCTGGGTGACAGAGGAAAACCCTGTCTCCTAAAAAAAAAAAAGAAAGAAAAGAAATAATAGATGTAGAATGCTACCTATTTCACGTTATACATACATACGCAATACAAATATTACCTTATTTCCTCCTTACCATCTCTGTCTCCTGCCGCCAAATTAAAAACCTGGAACTTGCTCATCCTTGAAGGAAAGATGAATTTCATACCTCTAGGCTTTTTCTGGAATCTCCATTCTCACTTCTCTAGTGAACTCCTACTTATATTCTTCAAGGTTGGCTGGAATTTCTTCCGTAGTTTCTCTGTAGCTTACTCAGTCTCTCTCATTTCTAAGAATTAATTGCTCCTTGTGTTTCCGTAGCACACTGAAACCTCTCTGTTATAGCACTTACATCGTACTATAATAATTATTTGATTTTTTTTGTCTATTGAAGTTCGCGTCACATAGAAAATATTTAATGGTCAAATTCTTTTTTTTTGAGATGAAGTCTTGCTCAGTCACCTGGGCTAGAGTGCCGGTGGCATCAGCCTAGCTCATAGCAACCTCAAATTCCTGGGCTCAAGGGATTCTCCTGCCTCAGCCTCCCAAGCTGGGATTACAGGCGCATGCCACCACGCCCGGCTAATTTTTCTGTTTTTAGTAGAGATGGGGGTTTCCATCTTGCTCAGGCTGGTCTTGAACTCCTAACCTCAAGAGATCGTCCCACCTCGGCCTCCCTCCTTTCTGGGAGGCTGAGTGCTAGGACTACAGGTGTGAGCCACAGCACCCGGCCTAATGGTTAAATTCTATCAATGTAAGATAATCAATAACTAAACTCCCTAGAATGGACAGAATGGGATAGGTCAGAAATTTAATATGACTTTTTTTTTTTT